CTAGTTGAGTAGATAACTGGTTGCACTTGATAACTTTGCGCAAACAATATAAATACAAATTAAATACATTCATTTAAAAATAGCTGCCACACTAGAATTACAGCATAAAAAAATTGAAAAATTAAGGAGAAGAGAAAAACACCTCATGGCTTTAAACAAGGAACAGCAGAAGACAACATCAGAATTTGTTAAGGTGTGTAGAGAACGTGTGGATGATATTTCGAGCCTTAAACAGGAAGCCCGCGCCCATCTCTCACAAGTAGACCAACTAAGAAAACGTATGGCTCAATGTGAGATGAAGGCTGCGGGATCAGAGAAATATGAGAGAAAAATCCTGGACCTTCAAAAGAAATGCAAAGACTTGGAAAGGAAACATGCCACTGAAAAAAAGAGACGGGAGCAGAAAGAAAAAGATGTGGAATTTCTGTCTCGTCTTCAAGGCAAAGTCAATAGACTGAGCAAAGAAAATGAGGCCTTGAAGCAAGAATTAAAGCAAGTGACCACTGAAAAAAACCTAAAAGTAAAAGAACTGAAGGAAAAAGAAGAACAGATAAAAAATGAGCTTAGAGTCCAGGACCAGCTCAAAGAAGAGAGGGTCAACTTTGAAAAAAGGACATCAGAATATCTTGTAGAGGCTAGCACGCTGTTTCAATGTAGAGACAGACTTAAAACAGTGGAGGCACTAGAAGAGAAATTAAAAGCTGAAATTAAAACATGGCAAAAAAAAGCAGAGGATTTTGAAGAGCGAAAGGACAGGGTCATTATGGAGAAAAGCGCATTGATAATGAAAAATAATGAACTGTCAGATTTGCTTTTGGGAAAGGACTTGGACAATAACAAACTAGTAAAAGAGTTAAAAGGAAAACGAGAGGAAATAGAAAGTCAGACAAAGGAAGCCTCAAAGCAGCTTTCTAACACGCAACACCTGGAGAAAGTCCTGCAGATGAAAAATGAACAAATAGCCAAACTTGAAAGTGAGAGGCGGGAATCCTTCAAGAAAATGACATCCCAAGATCATGAGATTGTCAGTCTGAGAAATGCTCTGAAAGAAACAGAACACAGACTAAAAATACAGATGACGCACGACGAGTTTTGGAATGAAAAACTTAATAAGGAGTTATCTGAGGCTAAGACCGTGATCAGTCAATTTAAGGACACCATAGAGTCACTGACAAAGGACACAGAACAAAAGAATAGTGAACGAGAAATGATTCAAGCAGAGCTATCCAAGTCTCAGACCGGGTATTTTGCTGTGAAAAATCAACTGGAGCTCATCAAACAAAAGCAGGCAGAAGCGCAGACGGCACAGGCCAAACAACTTGCCTGTGTCAACAAGGAGCGCAACGTAGTTAAGAAAAGGCTGGTCCAGATTTTGGCAGACAAAGAAAAGGTGGACAAAGAGCTCACACACTACAAAGAAATTGTGTTTCAGCAGCAACAAAACATAAAAGAGCTGGAAACTGAAATTCAAATGAGTTCAATTCAAAGACAAACGATTGAAGGACAAAAACAGGAAATTGACCGTCTGACGAAGCAGGTAAAGGACCTGCGTGAGGAGAATTCCTTAAAGGTTGCCATTGAGCTGCACAAATACGCTGCAAAAAC